AAATTACTAACATCACAATATTTTTTATAAACCCAAGGTCTGGTGTGAAAATGAAATATATCGGTCCACACCCTCTGGTACCTCTCCCATAAAGGGTTCACATTTTTAATATTCATGAAGCTCATAAAACACGAAATTAATATCCGATTCCATGCAGACTTGATGCATCTCAATATTTCCATAAACACAAGATCTGTTATAAGGTTGGTTGAGATCGGACCATTTCTTCTAGTACCTCCTCTACAAAGAGTGAATGTTTTATGTAACCCAAACGATCATAAAATCCGAAATAAACATCCGGTTCTTTGAAAATTTCACACATCATAATGGTGTGAAAATAGAATATATCGGTCCACTCCTTCTGGTACCTACAAAGGGATCTAGATTTTTGAAAAACAAAACTCTCACAGACAAAGCGAAATAAAAATCCAACTCTTCTCATATTTCACACATCCGAATATTTTTGCTAACACAAGTTCTGTTCTGAAGATCATTTATATCTGCCAACCCCTTCAGGTACCTCACCCACAAAGGGTCACAATTTACAATACTTATATCTGTCATAACTTGCGAAACAAGTCGGTCTTTACAATTTGCTATATCTAAATATTTATTAATCGAAATTTATGATTTCGCATAAAATGGATATAAATGTTCGATGTCCTTCAAATTTTAACCATACCAATATTTTTATCTGTATTAGATGAAGTATGAAAATGGAATACTTCGGTCCGCTATACCTGTTACCTTTCCACATTTTCCAAAAATTTTCACGTATCTCATATAAAATATAGGAAGTAGTCGAGATAGTACAAATGACACGTTGTAATATGTTTATCTGTCTTAAGTCAGAACCTCCTCCATAAAGGGTAAACCGTTTGAATAATCATAACTCAAGGCTGAGAGTATACATCTGTCGACAAAACCGACTGATACTATTTTACTTGGCTTAATGGTTTTTAATATCTTGTTTGAGACCCTTTATAAAACTTTTTCCAAACTTTTACACTTACACTTTTGCAGGGTATTTTCACATCAACAAACAGTCCATACACCCACCGAATTTGCCACATAATTTCACAATATTACTATTTACATAATAAACTTCCATCGTTTTTTCCGTGCTTGTTTGTTACGTTAATACCTTAAAAGGGTTTCAATTTCCTGTAAAATCGTGTTTTGGTTAGTTCTCTTTTTTCGTGAATTCATCATATTCTGGTATTTGTTTTCGAATTGATTTGCATTCAGCGAATGATATGCTTTTTTCGGTGAAAGCTTTGTTGTGTAATGTACGGGTTAATATTTATTTTACATCATGGATGTCTTCTGGCCTTTGGTTGCATGGTGGACTTTGGGAGCCATTAAGTGGTAGCTGCAGTCGGGAATTGGGGGGTTCTTGTCCACCTTCAACCAATGCAATATTCCTTTACAGATATTAATTTTAGACTCCCATAACAAAACAACAAAATGCACTGACCAAGTGGAACAGTGATTATAGAAAAAGAAATCTACAAACTAATACCCCAAACAAAAGAAAGTAAGAATTTATATAAGTTATTGTCTCAACTGAAAGATTAATAATAAAGTTCCCAGATGTTCAGGGAAATTGCCTCTATACCCTCGCCAACCTTAGACCATAATGGCATATTTTGATATGGACCCCAAAAATACCTTTCAACTCGTTTCTATTTTGGCATCCCTATAAACAAGAAAACGTCCTATAAGACACTACCAATTCATTTTGAATTCACTACAAACTTTATTCAAATCATAATATTTAAATAAAATATTTTAAATTTGTATGCAATTTGTTATATATATAATCCATTAACTAATAAACTATTTGTAAATAATATAATTATCACCGCGATTGAAATGAAAAGAAATAAATATAATGATCCCTCAAAGGGTTAATAAATCAATATAAAAGTAATCTCAGCAGATATGAATATCACCACTATGTGGAATACATTGCTGAGCATACCGTTTATTTATGAAAGGAGCACATAATGATTAAGAGAGAGAAAGAGTAATTTGTCATATATTTTGTTCTAGACAATTTTTAATACAGTGGTGAACTCTCACCATCCAAAAGTCAAGTAAACAGATTATATTACTTTTTCTCCATCTTCTTGGGTGCTCTTCATGTAAACAAAAGAAATAAGGGGAAAAAACGAACAAGATTTACCTTACAATTTGCGAAGCTGTCCGGTATTGATGAAGGCCTTCTCCAATTCTGGAAGCTGCATTTCTGTTTTTACGTTGGGCTTTCTTGCTATGCGATTTTATAGATTTATATCATGCTATAAAGTTATGGGTTTTTACATGCAATAATATTATTATGAATATAATTATCTTCTAATGAACATGACATACAATAGAGATATTATGATCTAAGACAAATCCATTGAATGTATTAAAACTGAAACATTCAACTCGAATAATTTTTAGTTCAATCGACTTGGTTAGACTATTGATTAAAATCGGAAAAAATATATTAAAAAATATTGTATATCATGTTTACGGTTACTATGGGTAATTTAATATTATACTTAGTAGGAAAATCAGGGTATCATCATTGAAATTTGTTGGTAATCAGCATAAACAGAGTCAAAAATGGTATTCTGTGGAAAGTAGGTACAAGTTCCGGGATTAATGGACCCTTCTAGGTGCCCTCTTCAAACACGTCAGCGATATGGACATTTTGATATTTATGGATTGCCGGTTAGGTTTCTGGAGATATCATTTCTAAATCATCTATTCAATCCTTAGATAGAGTTGGGAAAAATAGAATTGTCCAGATAACTCCCCGGATAACAGAATCTGATCGATTTGGGTATGATCATTCAAGTTGTAGGTTATGGTGTTGGAAAATTTAGTTCCTCATGCTTGGTATATCAAAATTTATAGATGCACGACTACCCTGTGGGTAGTGTGATCTGGAACTTGAAAACAGTATAGCCAAGACTTCCTCGATGTTGGGTACGGAATAATTCTTTTTTTTTTCGGGCAGATGAATCGCAGTTTGGACAAATGGAAAAATTATGTGTTCGTTCCTCGACTTTCTCAAAATTGTGGGTTGAGGTTAAATTCCCAAGAAGAAAGAATTTGGGGTTGACTTATTTGGCGGCGATCCAAAACCACGAGGGTTGATTTAATATCAATAACTCTGCGGTATATCCTTCACAAATTTTTCTAAAATTTTCTGAGGTTACACGAATGTCACGTTTTTAGCATAAAAATATATTACCTGTTTGAAATATATTTATTTAAGTTATGATTGTGTTTTTTTTTTAAATAATACAAATTTCACTATCACTTTATAATAATGAGGGATTGGTAAGATTTTTGCCGATTTTAATTAAGCAATCTCGATCTATATTCTTTGAAACCTTTAAATGAAAAGAAACAATTTTTCTGGTAGATATGATACTAGGCTTAAGTTGGTTGCAGCGAAAGAACAGAACAAAGTAAAATGTTAAATTCGATATTTACTTATGATCATAATGTTGCCAGCATAAATTAAGTATTATCGAAACACATAAACATATTAAATTTTCAACCAAATTTATCTTGTCTACCAAAAAAGTTGTGTAGAATTCAAAAATTACATTTATTTATGTACCTGGGGACTAAATAGGGAATTGATTGGAATTAATTTATTTTTAGAGCACTGTGAATGTTCATAACCCAAGACATAAACCTTTCGTTTACTAGCGAGGTGAAAATAAAATACTATTGATTAGAAATTATGAATGAAAGGGTAACAATGAATGAATGGAATGTCAATGAAGATTGAGAATTGCAAAAACAAAACAAAAACAGGTTTTCACATTTGTTTTCATTTTATTCTATTGAACTCGTTCTCAAAATGGTAAAGAGATTTTTTTAATAAAAAAAATAAAAGTGAGTTTATCAAAATGAAGAGATATTTGTCTATTGGTGAATTTGTTGTGGTTTTTATTGCAGCCCCATGAATTTCATTAAGTTGGAAGAGTAGTGTATGCTGAAGGCGGACAGTGGAACCCAATTAGAAATAACCATGCGTGTAATATTTTTTTGTTTTTTTTTTTTTTTCTGTGACAAAACGTCCACCACAAACCCTATAATTCGACAAGGTTTCCGCAGGATAATTAGAGGGACAAAGGGCGTCTTAACTTTTTATGTCCTTTCCATGATACGTCCCAATAACTTTGCCGTCCATGTCTTCTAATATATAATAGTGTTGGCCTAATTTTTGTTTAATTTTGGCCTTTACGAAGACTGGGGCAAGCTTAGCGTTGAAGGCCTTTTCTTGATTACTTTGAGCGAAATTGCGTCTATAAACAATTTGGCCAATTGTAAAATTTTGAGGTCTTGTTCGTAAATTATATGAAGCTTGATTTTTATCATAAGCTTTTTTGATGTGGTCTCGTAGGTCATGCCGAATTAGTTGAAGACCATCATCTCTTGACAAAGTGAATGTTGGTTCGTTTAATAATTTCAGTTGTCGGAGGAGTCCATACGAAGATGCATGGGTGACCATATCAAAGCCGTATAATGCTCGATAAGGGGAACACCGTACAGATTGGTGGAATGAATTCCTTAGTGCACAACTGATGTGGCTTAATTTGTTATCCCACAGTTTGTGGTCGTTCTTCAGGTATGCCCGTATTCCCGCAATCAGCGAACGATTGACCCGTTCCGAAGCGTTCGATTGGGGAGAATATAGGGCAGTGTAAATATGGTTGATTCCGTATGATGTAAAGAAGGCATTGAGCTCATTGGATCGAAATTGGCTCCCGTTGTCTCTCACTATGATCTCCGGGACCCCATAGACATGAAAAATTTGCTTAAGCAAGAAGTCTTGAATGAGCGAGGCCGAGAATTTTCGCAGCGGACAAAGCCAGTGGAATTTCGACATATGGTCAAGAACAATGAGAATCCCTATATGACCGAGTTTGCTTCTTGGGTACGGACCGAGTATATCTATATACAATCTTTGAAACGGACGGACGGACTCTGCTGGTTGACCCATTGGGGGCTTCATGGTCATATTGGGGGCCTTTGTGGATTTGCATACGTCGCAATTGCTAACGTATTCGCGGACATCTATAACAATACCTGGCCAGAAAAAGGTTCTTCTTAGAAGGTCAAGGGTCTTTGCCATTCCGCCATGGGAAGCTTCAGGGGAGTCATGGGCCTTGGAGATAAGTTGAGTTCGCAACTTATGGGGAATCCACAGCTTCCAACATAGTTGTTCCTGGGATTCATCGCCAGAATAATGTTCAGTCCTGTAGTATACGTATTTGTCTACGATTTTAATATCGGGGTATTTATTGGGTGCTTTCATAATGGTGCCTTTTAACTCGACGTAGTCACTGTCATCAAAGTGGGGAGAATTAAAGTCAATTAGAGGGTCAACAATTTCAAGTGCGGAAATGTCATCGGGAATCCGGGACAGAGCGTCTGGAACCACATGATCTTTTCCTTTACGGTGGCTGATGGTGAACCTGTAGGGTTGCAATTTGAACACCCATCGAGCCAGTCTACCACTGAGATCAGGTTGGCGCATGAGCCAAACCAAACTCGAGTGGTCCGTAATAACTTAAAAATCCTGAAGTTCCAGGTAGCACCTGAACTTCTTAATCGCCTCTAGAGCCGCCAAACATTCCCTCTCCGTGACGCTGTAATTGCGTTGGGAGGTATTAAGTTTTTTGCTCATAAACGCGATGGGTCGCTCATTTCCCTCGTCGTCATGTTGGACTAAAACCGCGCCGATGCCAAAATCGCTAGCATCGCAGTGCAGGAAAAACTTTTTTGAGAAGTCAGGATTCGCTAGCACTGGAGCTGTAATGAGCAACGACTTGACCATTTCAAATGCTCTTTGAGCCTCTTCTGTCCACTTAAATTTCTTTTTGGTGGAAACCACTTCAGTAATAGGGAACGTAACTGTTGAAAAATTTGGTAAGAACCGTCTATACCACCCGGCGAGACCTAGAAAACCTCTTACTTGTTTTAAGTTTTTGGGTACAGGCCAGTTGGATATAGCGGTTACCTTTTCTGGGTCTGTTGTAATACCCCCGTTTCCAATTACATAACCAAGGTAATTAACTTTGGTGACGCAAAATTTGCTTTTGGACACATTGAGCGTCAAATTTGCCTTCTTAAATTGGGAAGAGATGCGAATAAGGACATCTAGGTGGGTTTTGAAGTCCTCGGAGATAATAATCATATCGTCCAAGTATCCAAAGACGGAATGGCGAAGGTCAGGCGGGATCAGCTCGTCCATAAGCCTACACATTGTTTGTGGGGCATTGCACAGACCGAACGGCATTACCACAAACTGGTAAAGTGGGCGTCCGGGTACTGTGAATGCCGTAAGCTGTTTGGACTTATGGTCGAGACCAATCTGCCAAAACGCATCTTTTAGATCCAATTTGGATATAACATTTGCCTTTGGAAGACGCGAGAAAATGCCCTCGATATTGGGAAGTGGGTATGCGTCTTTTTTTGTAACGGAATTGATTTTCCGTGCATCGAGGCATAGTCGGACCTTGTTAGGTTTCACGACTAGCCTCATAGGTGAACTCCATGGGGAATTGGAAGGCTCAATGACACCTAATCGCAACATTCTGTCTATCTCGGCGAACATCAACTTCTCTACGGCCGGCGAAACGGGGTAAAAACGCTGTTTGATGGGCGAGGCATCGCCCACATCGATTGTATGCTGAATGAGATCCGTCCTGCCGAGACCCTGCTTTTCAAAGTTGGGAAACAATTCAATTACAGCATTCAACTGTTTGCGCTCTTGACAGGTTAGTGGAAAGAATGTGGCATCTGACTCCTTAGACTTCTGTATATCAGTAGGGATATCTATTGAGGATATGTCTGGGGTACAAATTCCATTAGAACTTGTACCAATAATGTCCGTCGCTCCTAAAACACTGTCTAACAATTTAAAAACCTTCCAAAAATCAATCCCTAAAATCAATCTTTGTGAGATAGTGGGAATGATGAAGAGCTTAAGAACTTCGGTTCTGTTCATGAAAGAAACATTTACTTGTATCCAACCCACTACATGCTGACGACTGCCATCAGCAGTCTTGACATATGATTTGAACTCGAAAAAGTTAGGAAATTTAGAAAAATTGTTCTTTGCCAAATCCCCGCCAATACAGCTGACGTTAGCCCCTGTATCTAGGAGGCCATATTCATTAAAATCAAGAAATGATACTTTCGCGTAGTACCGCATATCTTGTGGGTTAGACACTATGGTGGACACCTGAATTTTAGAGCAAAGTTTCTTAATTTTGAAATATTTCCGTAAACGTAGGGTAGATCTCTTGGGGTGCTTACGAGATTCTAGAGACGTTAAATATCTCACTTCTCCGTTTTAAATATATTTCCCAACGCATATGGAGAGGAAGCTTGGGGTAAATGACATTTTCCAGTTCATTTTCAGAAGTATTCTGACAAATATTGGGTCTTTTAAGGATGGTGATCGATTTTGAGTCGGCATTTTTATGATTTTGATTTTGGCTATAACTAATGTTTGGAATTGTATATTCAGGTTTTGGATTTGGTGATATTGCTAATGGTCCCTCATTTAGACCTGGTCCTTTTGAGGGCCCACGGTTCTCAAGTTTTTTGAAGAATTTTGATTACGTGTGATGCATTTTGTGCATTGGGGCTTGTACACGTTCTTAGTGCCACAGCCATAGCAAAATATGGACCTTGTCTCGAGACAATCTTGCCAATGGTGTCCAGAGCTGTCACAATTCCAACATTTAAAGTGGGAATCACCATTTTGGACCGCGTCCACTAGGCATTCTTGTTCAGAATCTATGATTGGATCTTGATCTAGTTCCGAAACTAGTCTTCGAGGAATTGGATTAGGAATGGGACCACGCTGAGATAAGGTCTTTCTCACGTATTCATCACTTAAAAAATTCTCGCGCATCTGCACCAGTTTCCGTAAGTGAGCTAAGGAATATATTGGGACATACAGGAGATCTTGGCGTATTTCTGGCCTCAGATTCCTAGCAATAATTTCTATAAATTCCTCTTCGGACATGGGGCTGGGAAATCTATCAGCTATCGTAGAGAGAGCATCGAAAAAGTTGTCATAACTTTGCCCAGGCTTCTGCTTACGATTTCTCAGTTCTTCTCTGAGATCGAATGAGGTTTTCATGTCCTTATATTGAGCACGAATAGCTTTACAAAAATCTTCCCAAGTTATGGACTGGACCAACTTATGGTACCTCCAGAACCACTCACGCGCCTTACCAGCCAGAAGCGTGTTAAGATTTTTGCAAATAACAGAAAAGTCTCCACAAAAATTGTCATTGGTGAGGGTCCTTACCCTATACAAAAATTCGTCTATATTTAGACCATTTGCTGAACCATCAAACTTGAGGTTCCAATTATTTATGATGGAAGTGACTTTATCTGCAGGTATACTGTTAAAGTTAGTAGCGCTGGACGACAGATTGACAGGTTGATTAGCGGTGGGATATGGATTAAATTGGTGGTTAACATTGCCATTATTGTTGGAAATAGGATCCTGATGGATGTTCTGGTTTTGATTGTGGCTAATGTTAGCGTTAGCACAAGGCAGTGGGTGATTAATAAGGGGATTGTTAGTCCTACCACTATTGTGAATAAAAGGTTGCGTCTCTGTATTATTTATCCTTGAAGGATTTTGAGTAACTTTTAAATTTTGTAAAATCCTCGATATAGAAGTTTCAATCATCCGATTTATTTCCGTATAATCAACGGCAGGGGGATTTACGGTTTGACTGACATTAGTAGCCAAGGGTGATAACACAAAATTATCATTATTCAGATAATTATTATTTTGAGTTGAAACTTGAGGTTGTTCTGGGTGTGGATTAACGTCATTACTGAAAGATGTATTCTGCATATCTTGAAATAAGTTTCTACTGGCACTCCTGGTATTATAGGTACGAGCCATTGCTCCTCTACCTTTTCCTCTTTTGCTCTGCTTGGGTAAAGGGTGTCTTTTTGGGGTGACAACATAATTTCTAAGTTCGTTAAGTTGGCATGGATGCTGACACACAGGACATTGCGCAGAATTGGATAGATGTGACTCAATGCAGTCTCTGTGAAAAGAGTGCAAACATTGGCTTATAATCAAGCAATCTTGTCCTTCACTCATTGACTCATTACAAACCTGACAACCATTTGATAAACCATTAGCAGGGGCTGAAGGCTCTTCTTGTAAACAAGAAATATAATGTTTTATTCTAATATATATAAACAGTCAGCTACCGTAAATATATAAAAAGTGCTTGGAGGGAAAATTAGAAAAATACCCTCTATGTATTTGAAATAATATCAATATTATTAAAGTGATGTTAGAAAATATTCATATACTTAAAAGTTCTCGATGTCGATTTTTCATAAATATCTGGACGTTTCTTGCTAGGTAATGTTCAAAATAGAAAGAGTGTATACAAAGCTTACAATTGAGACAACAGGAAAAAATATTGGTCTATGGATTTTGTATATCTAATTTAATATTATTATAACCAACACACCAGCTTAGAATTTTAGTTAATGTACCCTAATATATCTCTTCTTTCTACCAGTGGTCACTAAATCGCCAATAGCAAAGATAATGCAATTCCAGCTGTATAGAAAGGTGCTGATTTCTAAGTCATAATTATAATAACTCAAAGAAAATATATCAAAATGAAAGGGATGTTTAAATTTTGATGTTATACTAGAAATACATAGTAATAGAAAATATTCCATTTATACCTTCGGTCATTCATTCGAAGTAAACTTCAAAGGAACGAATATCCAGAAGAAATCATGCAAGTATTCTAATCAAGATTTCTTGATATAATACCAATTTAAACTTAAAAAAAAATATTCAAAATTAAAATAGAAACGGATTAAGAGCCGGGATTCAAAAAACTTCCAGGCCCCACGTGCTGGGCGCCAAATACTGTAATGTACGGGTTAATATTTATTTTACATCATGGATGTCTTCTGGCCTTTGGTTGCATGGTGGACTTTGGGAGCCATTAAGTGGTAGCTGCAGTCGGGAATTGGGGGGTTCTTGTCCACCTTCAACCAATGCAATATTCCTTTACAGATATTATTTTTAGACTCCCATAACAAAACAACAAAATGCACTGACCAAGTGGAACAGTGATTATAGAAAAAGAAATCTACAAACTAATACCCCAAACAAAAGAAAGTAAGAATTTATATAAGTTATTGTCTCAACTGAAAGATTAATAATAAAGTTCCCAGATGTTCAGGGAAATTGCCTCTATACCCTCGCCAACCTTAGACCATAATGGCATATTTTGATATGGACCCCAAAAATACCTTTCAACTCGTTTCTATTTTGGCATCCCTATAAACAAGAAAACGTCCTATAAGACACTACCAATTCATTTTGAATTCACTACAAACTTTATTCAAATCATAATATTTAAATAAAATATTTTAAATTTGTATGCAATTTGTTATATATATAATCCATTAACTAATAAACTATTTGTAAATAATATAATTATCACCGCGATTGAAATGAAA